GGGGAGCCCGGGCCTCCTGCCTGGGCCGTTGCGGCTGCGTGTGCCCCCTCCTGCTGGGCCAGCCGCGGCTGGCCCCCCCCTGGTGCTGCCTCTCCTCCTGCGTTGATCTTGCTCCTCTTGGCCTCCTGCGCGGTCGCCTGCTTCTGCTCCATCGCCGCCATCTTCGCCTTGGTGTTGTGGTCGCGCAGATGCCCTTGGAACGTCCGCGCAGCATTCTCTTGCATCTGCCTCACTACCTCTCTCTTGGCCTCCTCGACTTGGCGCTGCCCTTCGTCGTCCAGCTCCTCGATACCCAGGTCGAACTCGCGCCCAACGCCTGCTGCCAGCTGCCCCTCCGCCAGCATATCTATCTTGCCCGACACCAGCTGCTCGAGGATGCCAGCTGAGGGTGCGCTGCGGCCCTCTGAGTGCATGGCTTCGCCCTCCGACTCCGCCCGAAGCACTGTCTCGGCGCGCTCCTCCAGCACCGTGCGAGCTTTCCTCGCCTCTTCCTCTGCACTGCACGCTGCTTCGTCGCGAAGGCCGCCTGGTAATGCCTCTGCGCCGTCTGGAGTGATCTGGCTGCCGCCGCCATTCTCTCCGCTCTCAACTTGACTGTCTGCCGAGGCGACACGGCCTAGAGAGCACTGGCTGCACCCAGGATCCGCTTGCTGATTGTTTCTACGCCCTGCAGTTTCAGCGAGTCCAATGAGGCCGTGCTGAGCTGCAGCGCCTGCGCCAGCTGCACGGGCCCCTGGCTCTTGCCGCCGCTGCTGACAGACTTGCCATCTCCCTTACTGCCAGCGTCTCCCTTGCCGTCCTTGCCGTTCTTGCCCTCGCCCTTGCCCGTCTCTGGCTTGGACTTGGGATGCTGCGCTTTGCACGGGCCACACGTAGCCCATGCTCTCAGCCTTGCTGCACCACCACCACTGGCCGCAAGCTTTGCACACCAGGTAGTCAGCTGAGCGTCCCATGGGAGCCTTGCTGCCGTGGTGCAGGTAGACCAGCTGTCTGTAGCGCTCCAGGCGGGGTGCGCTTCTCGCCTCTGCGCGCTCGCCTGTGCCAGGCTGGGGAGCGCTCTCGCTTCGTCCTGGCCGCCTCCTCCTCGCCTCCTCGCGCCCTTGGCGCTGGGGGCCCCGATGGCGCATGCCTGGCCGTGCGCGCGCCGGGGGCAATGGCTGCGCGGGGGCCACGCAGCGGGACCACCTTGTTCTAGGAGGAGGATGGGGAGGAGGAAGAGCAGGAGGAGGAGGAGAAGGAGGAGGAGGAGGAGGAGGAGGGGAGGAGGAGGAATATGATGATGATGCTGATGATGATGATGATGATGCTGATGATGATGATGATGATGCTGATGATGATGATGATGATGATGATGATGATGATGATGATGATGATGATGATGATGATGATGATGATGATGATGATGATGATGATGATGATGATGATGATGATGATGATGATGATGATGATGATGATGATGATGATGATGATGATGATGATGATGATGATGATGATGATGATGGATGATGATGATGATGATGATGATGATGATGATGATGATGATGATGAGGAGGAGGAGGATGAGGAGGAGGAGAAGGAGGAAGGGAGGAGGAAGAGGAGGAGGAGGGAGGAGGAGGAAGAGTAGTAGGAAGAGGAGGAGTGGATGGGGCAGAACACTATAGGGAGTTTTATGCAAAAGGAGATATACATGTGGGGGCGGAGGGGAGGAAGACACAGAAGAGCGGGAGGATAATGAGAACGGGGAGGGCGAAGAGGAGGATCATGGGAGGGGGGGAGCAGGCGGATGACGAAGACTCGGATGGGGAGTTGCTGTTCAACGCTGGGCTTCGCTGTTGCGTGCTCCGATAAACGGATGGGGGGAGGGGGGAGGGACAGTGGAGGAGGAGGAGGAGGAGGAGGAGGAGGAGGAGGAGGAGGAGGAGGAGGAGGAGGAGGATGAGGAGGAGGAGGGGGAAGACGGATGAGGAGGACACGGAGGAACAGGAGGAGGAGGATGATGAGGAGGAGGAGGAGGCGGAGGAGGAGGAGGAGGAGATATGGGGAGGAGCTGGTGGTGTGGGGGGGGCGGGCAGGTGCGACAAGGTTAGGACAGGCAGCCTCTGACTACTCCGCTTGGTTGCACAGGTTACCGCCACCACGCAGCTGTGGGGCGACCCAGCGCCGCTGCGCGTGAAGCTGCTCAAGGTCGGATGGATGGATGGATGATGCGGGAAGGGGAGGACGATCATCAGGAGGAGGAGGAGGAGGAGGAGAAGGAGGAGATTAGAGGGGAGGGGTAATGGGGAAGGGTGGGATGTGAAGGAGGACGAGGAAGAGGAGGTTGTGGTGACGAGAAGGAGCAGCACCGTGTCGAGGTGGAGCAGGAGGAGGAGGGGCGCTCGAACTTGGGAGGAGGATTTACCGCTTCACGCTCCTTACGCTCTTACGCTCTTTACGCTCTCGCGAACTTGGGAGGAGGAGGAGGAGGAGAAGAAAAGGAGGAGGAGGAAGAGAAGGAGGAAGAGAAGGAGGAAGAGAAGGAGGATGAGGAGGATGAGGAGGAGGAGGGGGGTATCGGTACAGCGCACAGGGTATTGCCACAGTGTGCGCATGGTGTCGACACAGCGCCGAGGGTTTCGGCAAGCTGCCCGGTGCCAGGCCTGCCTTCTGCCCAGGATATCGGCACAACGCGCCCCGCTGGGTTACGGACGACCCGGCCAGACCAGCAGGATGATGAGGAGCGCGCGTCCTTTGGCTAGCCGGGTGGCCGTGGATACATGTGTACATCTCGGCATGGGCACTTAGAATCCGAACGAGCAGTGCTCATTGCCGTTTATCGTCCGTTCCCGTCGGAAATGTTTGGTCGTTTTGCGTGGTCGATCACTGACGTACGTTCTGCACCATTGTGCAATCTGTGTTGGCTAAACCAGTCGCCCCGTATTTCTGTGCATGGGCGTACAGGTTCATTGCAGTATTACCGATGCCATCTTTAAGCACACTCATCGTCGTGCTTCAATGCGTGACGCATGGGTAAACGATGCCATGTGTTTGCCAACGTGTCGTGTTTGCTTCGAATGTAAAGAAGTCATTGGTGATGGCGTGATGTTGGGCAGATGTGTTTACACACGAACTGTAGCTCAACGGTTCCAGGCTTGCTTTCGCAAGTTCGGCTGAACACAATGATTCGCACACCCATGTTGCGAGTGAGTGTGTGTGTGTGTGTGACAGTGTTTGTGGGCCTGGACCTCCCAATAACCAATGTAACGTTGTCGTTGTTCCTCCCGCACATCTTCGTCATCGTCGTACTCGTTCCGTCTTCTCCCCCCTTCTCTCCCCTCTCCTCCTCCTCCTCCTCCTCCTCCTCCCCCTCCTCCTCTTCCCATTATCCAATCGAGCACGCACCGTGCGAAGCCGCGCGTCGCATCAACCATCAACCACCGTCTGTCTATCGTTTGTCATCCGCGTGGTGCTGCCGCTGCTGCTGCTGCTCCTGATCCTCGTAGTCCGCCCTGTCCTCCACGACCTCCGCCCTGCCTCTTTTCCTCCTTCCCTCCTCCTTTTCCTCTTCCTCTCTACATGCTCACATTCCGGAGGCACCCCTCTGAGGAAGTCGAGCTGGGATGCGGTTATCGGTGATGCCAGTGCTGGGCGAGCCTGGGCACGCACGTGCTATTTGTATGCGTGTATGTGTGTAAGTGTGTGTGTGTGTGTGTGCATATGTATATACCTCCTTGCGCCTTCGTGTGGAGAGGGTCAGGATTTTCAATCGTGCCATAACGAACTGACATACGCAACATAACGATCGGTACCAAAGAGCCCGCTACCCCATAGATCAACAAGTAGGCAGCCGCAGGATGCAGCCAAACCTTTCTAGAGGTTTTCCCAGCGTTTCAGAATGCCCTGGCACGTCCGTCGTAGCTCACACAGCTTTGTGAATTGTCCGCCCCGTAATCAGAAGTTCTGGGCTCCTGTGCCACATGTTCCCAGTGCTCTTGACTACGACCACGCTGCCAGATATCCAAGCATCCTGCGTGAAATGGCCACCAGGGCCAACCGGTGCTTGCATGCGGCTTGGTTGCTCTAAGCCTGCTCATCTTCCTTCTTCTTCTCCTCTCCTCCCTCGCCTCTTCGTTCTACGGCGGGGTGCGGACGGACGGCTTCCAGGCGCGAGGACGGTGCCGCGGCAGCGGGACCTTGCCGCTCGCCTTCGGTCGTTGATCGTCGGGGAGCCTTGAACCGAATTTGACCCCCTGCTCGGGCCTTGTGGGCTTGCAGGGGGCGTCATGGGCTGCGTTCCTCCCTCGCCTCTTCGTTCTCTTCCTCCTCCCCTCAGCGGAGCATGTTGGAGCTATGCTGTCTAGGACGCTTGGCCGCAGCGCCGCGCACGCGGCGTGTCCGCCTGCAGTGCGGCTACAGCTGGCCATGGTCGTCGTCGTCGTTGTCGTCGTCGTCGTCGTCGTCGTCGTCGTCGTCGGTCGTGTCGCTGCGTTCGTTCGTCTGTCGTCCTCGTGTTGCCATCGTCGTCCGCCGCCGTCGTCCCAGTGCCGATGCCGCTCTTTTTCCTCTGCCTGGACCTTGCGCTGTCACGGGGCGCGAGCAGGGCCAATCCAGGAATCCAGAAACTCTTCCTCCTCACTCCGCTCTCCTTCTTGCCCTCTTCCTCCCCCCTTCTTCGTACCCTTTCTCCTCCGCAGCCGTTTCTGCCCACTCCAACTTGGTCCGATCGCGAGTCAGAGAGCGCCGCTGCCCGCCGCCGCTCGGCAGCAGGACTGGCCCCATGGAGCCAGCCATCGCAGCTGGCTTCGCTGGGCTTGCATACGGCCTCGTCGTCGCTGCCAACAGGCTGAAGCTTGCCGGTGCGAGGCGGAATAGGATCGGCGATCGACGTTCGATCCATACCCCTGCTGCTGCTCCCCGCTCTTGGCGCCACGGGCAGCAGAGCATGGAGGAAAAAAGGGCTCCCGAGGCCAGCACTTCATCCATGGCCCATCTCCAGCCCCTCGTGGGGTCACGGCGTGAGCATGTGCATGGATACAAGGTCGATCGCCTGCAGGATGCTGCCGTGCGTCATGGAGCAGCAGGATTGCGATCCTGAGGTACAACTGCGGTTGCTAGTGGTACATGTCCGGGCCGCCTCCCTCCTCTCTAGGTTCGACCATGAAGTCATGAAGATCCGGCTCAAGCACGGACAACCACGCGTTTCATCGGCATGCGAAACGGTAGCCGTCCTCTTCGACCGGGAGCTGGTGTTCCGCTGTATGCCGAAATTTCCCTTGGTTGCAGACTTTGACACCTTCTGCGTGTTTCTGTGGCAAGGTGGGTCACGAACAAAAACGGTTCAAATGCGCCGACACTGGCGCGTAAGTTCTTCGTGTAAGGTCGCGCGTGAACGCCCTCTCCTCCAATGTGGCGTGCAGCGCCGGCGGCCCGCGTAAGCCACCGCGTAAGGTCGCTGTGTCATCTCGCGTAAGACCCGTTTTTGATCGTCGCTCGGGTGGTCAAGGCTCTTCGTTGAGGATCCGACTAGTCGCAGTCTCGGGCAAGGACCGCGTGATCGCCAAGGCTGTGGTGCCTCTGGGGGACGCGGTCGGACTCCAGGAGTTCGATTTGCAGCTCGCGGGCCTTCCTGGACTGTTGACGCCGTCTGAGGAGGTTGTCGGCCACGTCAGCGTTGCCACAGAGATCCACAATATGTCCAGGCGCGACCTACTTCAGCATCTGCAGCGCCTCCACGCGCAGAGGCGGCAGGGTGCGTTCGTCCTCGCAGAGGTGCCGCTCGGCGAGATCTACGGTCCATGTGAGGAGGCCGAGCAGGAGGAGGATCTGGTCTCGGTCATGCCGGTCGTACCCGTCAACGTTTGAGACTTCAGACTTCGGGAATGCTGCAGTTTGCACGTTGCACGTTTTTTTCTTGGTTTGTTTACTACATCTGCCCGCGCTTGTGCACACATCGGCCTGGAGCCCAGAGCAAGGACGCAGGGAACCCCTCAAATCTGGCTGCGCGAGACGCAGGCGAATCACGAGAGTAAGAATAATGAAACGAGTTTCTTGGCTGCACCGCACGGCACGGTAATCGTTCTCCTTCGCCTCCACATTAGCGGGGAAAACACGGGGAGCTCTTGTCTGGGATCGAGTCTCAAGCGAAACGAAAGCGAGGCTACGCGTTTCGCCCCAAAGGGTACCTTCGGGCCAAACTGCCTACAGAGCAGCATCGAGCGAGCATCGTCGACCTTGGGACCGGAGGCGGAGCGGAGAGATGCAGCGTGCTGTGAGGGTCTCTCTCGGGGGGTATTTTTGGATCGTCTTGGGAGCATCGCGGGGACCGTTGGCGCCTCGTGGGAGTATCCTGGAGGCTTCTGGGCCTATCTGGGGTTGCGGGGAGCCCGCCATCTCGACCCTCCTCCTCCTCCTCCTCCTCCTCCTCCTCCTAGCTCCTCGTTTCGCTCCTCCTCCTTCCTCCTCCTCCTCCTCCCTCCTCTCCTCCTCCTCCCCCTCCTCCTCATCCTCCTCCTCCTCCTTCTCCTCCACCTCCTCCTCCTCCTCCTCCTCCTCCTCCTCCTCCTCCTTCTCCTCCCCCCCTGGGACGCCCTTCGGGGTTTCCTGGGCCTCTCCGCGGCTCTGGAGGCCCTGCTGCGCCACTCGGGGGCCCCTCTTCGCGCCGTCTTGGGGGCCTCGGGGGCCGTCTGTGGGCCACCCCACGAAGGTCCATCGGGGCCTCTCGAGGCCCCTTGAGGCCCCTCGAGGCCCCTCGAGGCCCCTCGAGGCCCCTCGAGGCCCCTCGAGGCCCATGGAGGCCCATGGAGGCCCATGGAGGCCCATGGAGGCCCCTCGAGGCCCCTCGAGGCCCCTCGGGGCCCCTCGGGGCCCGTCGAGGCCTCTCGAGGCCAGCCGCTCGCCTCCGCCGCCTCTTCGCGCGGGGAGAGCGCCCTGGGAAGCAGCCCCTGGGGGGCCATCTGCGGGCGCAGGGCGCGCCTTGCCCCCCCCGTTGCGGGCGTGCGGGGGGGAGGCCGCCGCCGGCCAGCGCGCGGTGCCCTCGCCGGCTGCATTCCCGGGCCCCGTCGGCGTCGTCGTCGTCGTCGTCGTCGTCGTCGTCGTCGTCGTCGTCGTCGTCGTCGTCGTCGTCGTCGTCGCTCAAGTTCGGGCTCTGGCTGGCAGGCCGCTCTGGAGCGAGCCTGCCAGCCCTCCAGCGATGGCCCTGGTTCCAGACCACCTCGCGTGGTGAAAAAATCGCGACGGGAGGTTTTTCGCCATTTTCGGTCTGCAGGGGCCCTTCCCGGGCCTCGGGGCCGTCAAAAAACGACTCAGCGGTCCTGGGGAATGGGTCGAGACTTCCGGGGACCGCGTATGGAAAAATCACGACATCGGATCTCTGGGATCGACTCGGCAGGAGGAAGCTGTGTCGACCCTCAGCTCGGCGTCACCCCAACATGCTGCGGTCGGGCTGACGAGGAATCAGATCGAGGTCGGCTCGGGGAGGGTATCCTGGTGTTCTTCGTACTTGTCGCATATTCTTGTGCATCTTGGATACAAGGGCACCCTCGAGTGTTCTTCAGTGTGGCTGGCGGAAGGAGCCATGTCCTTTAAGGATGTTCTTCTGTCCCAGGTCGGGCCGAACAACGAGGAAGAAGAAGAGGAGGAGGATGAGGAGGAGGAGGAGGAGGAGGGAAGAGGAGGAGGATGGAGGAGGAGGAGGAGGAGGAGGAGGAGGAGGAGGAGGAGGAGGAGGAGGAGGAGGAGGAGGAGGAGGAGGAGGAGGAGGAGGAGGAGGAGGAGGAGGAGGAGGAGGAGGAGGAGGATGGAGGAGGAGGAGGAGGAGGAGGAGGAGGAGGAGGAGGAGGAGGAGGAGGAGGAGGAGGAGAGGAGGATGGAGGAGGAGGAGGAGGAGGCCTTTGCTTGGCCCACTGGAATGATGCCCCAGTCAACATGGCTGAATTTGCCCCAGAGTCGGCACCTGAACAGAGCGCGCTCCGAGCGTGGCTCTGTCCGGGATGCTCGTCCCATCCTGCTCGGAGCGCCCTGCGCTGGTGCACCCGTGCGCGCTCGCGCGCGCCCCGCGGGGTGCTCTGGCGCCTGGTCGGCGGGAGGGCGTCGGCGGCAGCGGCTGGCCAGGCCTCGGAGTCCCAGCTTCGATGAAGCACTTTGGGGCCGACTCCGACCTGCCTGAGCCCCGCAGGGCGGTCTTGGGCCAATCCCTCGGCACATGCACTGCGAATCCTACACGCACAGCTGTGCAGGGTACACAGCTTGTCAGGCCCCTATATGCCGCCACGCTGGTTCCGGGCAGGCTGCTGTCCGGCGGAAGGGGACGAGGAGGGGAGAAGCAGGCAGACGACGACGAACGCCCAGGCGGGGGGCCAGGGCCGGCGGGGCGGGCGGGCAGGCAGCTGACGGGCCAGGCGGAGACAGCAGGCAGGGAACAGGAGGAAAGGAAAGGGAGGGAAGCAACGAGCAGAAGCGAAGGGAGGGGGAGGAGGTGGAGGAGGACAAGGAGGAGAGAAAGCAGCGGCCGCAAGCAGACAGGCCGGGCCAGGGGCCGGCAGAGAAGAGCCGCCCGCGACGAGGCTACGGACCCTACGGCGGCGACCTGGGCGGGGTGGCCGCCCGAACCCAGCGCGATGCGGCTTGGTGGGGATTGCCCTCTGCGGGATCCATCCACCGCCCCGCCGGGGAAGGGCCGGGCGGCGCGTGGGAGCGGCCGCCGGCGCGACGTTGGCGAAAAGGCGCGGGGGGCGGCCGCGCTGCCCAGCAAGGGCGGGGGGGGGTGGGCGGGGGGCGCTAGGCACCGCAGGGGGCACCTCACACGGTGTCTGCCGTGGAGGCCGCCGTGGCCGCGGCCAGGCGGGCCGCTGCCACCCCCGCCCCTCCAGACAGGGTCTGAAGGCGCCGCAACACCGCCCGCGCGTTCTCCCTGTGCAGGGAGACGGAAAGTCGCTGGGCATGTTGGTCCGCAACCAGTGCGGCGTCTTCCCCCGTGGCGTCAGCCACCCGCTTGGCCAGGACCCCGAAGGCACTGCGCGCCTCGCGGCCCCACCCGCCGCCGTGGGCTTCCACCACCATGGGGAGGAAAGTGAAGCCCTGTGCCGCGCAGAGCCGCTCGGTGTCCTGGTACTGCCTTTTGAACTCCTCGTACCGCTCCGTCGCTGCGCTTGACGAAGCGGCCGACGCGGCGAGGAGATCGGCGCGCAACCCTGACGTGGCGGCAAAGTCCCAGGCGGCCGCCGTGCCGTTGCGCCACCGCGGCAGGTAGACGTCGGCAGGGCGGCGGCCGTTGTCGTCCACCTGGAACCCGCCCTGCTCGCCCCCGGGGGTGGCCTCCCCGGCGGGGCGCGCGGGTAGCAGCCCCGGGCGCTCCAATTCCGCCCCGGCGTGGCCGGCGGCCAGGGCGTCGAAGAAGGCCTGGTTGCGCAGGGCGTTGTGGCGTTTGGTCCGGTCGCCGCGGCAGGCGCAGACCAGGGCGTGGTCGCAGAAAACGTCCATCACCTCGCCACAGGCTGGGCAGAAACACTCCTCCTGCAGGAGCTGGACTCGCAGCCGCCTCTGCAGGCCGACCTGCATGAGGCCGTGCGGGAAGGCGGTGCCGGTGGCCTCGCAGGGCGGCGCCTGGAGCCACGCGGTTGCGCCTGGGGCTTGCGCCAGAGAGAGGTGCGCCTTGCTGGCCAGGGTGGAGCCCGCCAGAAGTCCGTCGAGCGAGGCGCTGTCCACCGCGTCGGAGAGGGCCTTCTGGTTGCCGTGCTGCGCGTGGTCGAACGAGGAGGAGGAGGAGGAGGAGGAGGAGGAGGAGGAGGAGGAGGAGAGAGGAGGAGGAGAGGCAGGAGGAGGAGGAGGAGGAGGAGGAGGAGGAGGAGGAGGAGGAGGAGGAGGAGGAGGAGGAGGAGGAGAAGGAGGAGGAGGAGGAGGAGGATGAGGAGGAGGAGGGGGAGGAGCCGATGTGTACGTCGCCACCACAAGCGCGACGCGCGCAGCGAGAACTCCCGTACTGTGTGCTTCGTGGCGGGCGCTTTCTGGCCCTACCGCTGGGGAAACGATCTACTGCAATATGTTTGTCCTATATGCTCGGGTCGGGCGCACGCCTCCGAGGAGGACACATAGTGCCAGTGTGTCCTTGTGCGTCCCATCAGCGCTCATCGCGCCCAAGGCTTCAGGCACACTGCGTTTCGGACCTCGGGGAGGGCTTGCACTTGCAGATCGTATCCTGTACTGCAGCGCTTGAGCAACAACATTGCGTTTTATTTGGGGGGATCGGATCGACTCGGCAGGAGGAAGCGTGATGCTTCGCAGCGTCGTCTGGCCCCCCCTTTTTTGGGGGGCCACAAGGGTGGAGCCTCGGGCTCAAACATCAGTATGGGCAGTATTTGGATCCCGCACTGCCCAACAGCTAAAAGCCACCCATGCCCCAACCTTCACCCTGGCTGGGGTCAGAGGAGGGGAGGATCGAACAGGTACAGAACCACGTTAGGGGCAGCCTGTTTAGCTTCCTCTTCGGGGTCTTCAGCATTCAGAAAGAACTTTGGGCTCTGGTAGAAGACGACGGCGACGACGACGACGACGACGACGACGACGACGACGACGACGACGACGACCACGACGACCACGACGACGACGACGCGATCTGGAGCGGGCGAGCGCGCTCGCCGGATGCGCCGGGGTCTTGCTGTCGCCATCCCAGGGTGGTCTGGAAGCGAGTCCGCCGCCTCGCAACCACAAGCCGTTGCCAGGGCGAGCTTTTTTCTCCGGTGCGGGGGCCGAGGGGGAGGGAGCAGAGGGGAGGAGTAGAAGGAAGGGCCAGCGCCCCTGGCAGGCGCCAGTTGGGCGATCATCGGGCATTCGCAATAAGAAGGGGGGAGGGAGGAGGAGAGTGGGCGAGCAGCCAGAAGCACTCCAGCCAGGAAAGTGTCAGACTTTTTCTCGGGCGGACCTGGGGCCCCTCCTCCCTCATCTCTCCGCTCTCCTCCTCCTCCTCCTCCCTCTTTCCTCCTCCTATTCCCTCTTCCCTCTTTCATCCTCCCTGTCTCCTTCCACCCTCACCCCCCCTTTTTGTAACAATTCTTGTTGCCATCTTCATCCTCCTCCTGGTCACGAGGTGTCGATTTCGTTGCGCTTTGTTTTCTTCAGCATGCACCTCGGGAGGTCAGATCTGCACACTTGCAAGGCCCATTCTACCGTTCCCCTGAAAGAGGAGGCGCTCGGTGGTGGATTCGCAAGGGACTGCATCCCAAGAGATCGAGGGTCAACGCTGATCTCGAGCCTGTTTGTTTTTTTGGTACTTTGTTACCAGATCATTGTTTGTGGATGTCGAATGCGGTCGGGAACTTTTGGTCAGCGTGTCGCTCCGCCGGTTTGGGCCCACCGCGCTTCGGCGCGACACGCTACCCCCGTCCCAGTCCCCGAGCGTCAACGTCCCGAGCTTTGCCCAGCCTCCCGTCCCGCGGAGCGGAGCGACACGTCGTCCGCCCGCAGGGCATAGCACGGCGCGTCGCTGGGGCCGCCGCGGCGACACGCCGAGCAAGAGCTCCGGACCGTTGGTCCTCCTCGCGAGGTGGCGATGCCCCTGCTACAGTGCCCCTGGCGCCACAGGCACGCCAGGGGCCGCGAAGGTCGCTGCGCGGTACAGCTTCTCCGCCGGGGCGCCGCGTGCCGCGCGGCGCCGCCCGGCGATCGGCGACCTCTGGACACTTCGAGCAGACAAGCGGGTCTTCAGGGCTGGACCTACACGCTGTTTTGCTGGACTTCGGCCGTGTCTTGTTTTTTTTCGTTTTGGGAGGGGGCTACAGGAAAACAGGTGGGGCAGAAGGAACAACAAAAACGAAAGCAACCTGAAAATCAACGGTTAGGTCCAGCCCTGTGGGTCTTCATATTCCTCGTCGTCTTTCTTCCTTTCTCGGGCCTCAGCTTCGACGCCCGCGGGGCAGGACAAGAGCAGGACGGACAGAGGGACGGAGGGACAGTGTGGCGGCGGCGGCGGCAGCAGCAGCGACACGGCATCCTCATCCTCCTCGCCCTCTTCCTCCGCCGTCCCAAAACGCCGAAGAGAGGAGAGAGGAGAAGGAGAAGGAAGAGGAAGAGGGGGAGGAGGAAGAGGAGGAGGAGGAGGAGGAGGAGGGCGAGGAGGAGGAGGAGGAGGAGGAGGGGGGGGAGGAGCAGAAGGAGCATCCTTGGAGGAACGAGCAGCGGCATGAAAATAGACTTGGAGTTCCGCGGATCTCTCGGATCTGCGATCGGCCCCCCCGGGGGGGGGGGGGGCGCCTCCGGCGCCGACCCTGGCGCGCTCCGCGCGTGCCAGGGAGAGGGGGCCTAGCGCCGATCCAAGGAATCCGCGTGGAGCCCCCAAAGTTTTTGTTTGTGCAGATTTTTCTCTTCCTCCCCTCATGCTCCTCCTCCTCCTCCTCCTCCTCCTCGGCGGAGCGCGCCAGGGAGGGGGGGGGGGTCAGCGCCGATGCAAGAGATCCGCGCCGTTTATGTTTGTGCAGATGCTTTTCTTCCTCCGGATGCCCCTCTTCCCCCAGCCTCCCACTCTCTTCCTGTGGAGATCCCCCCCCGCTTCTCCTCCCCAGCCTCCTCTGGAGGCCTTCCGTCGGTGGGGGGTCGGGGGCTCTCCCAGGGATGCCGGCCGCTGGAGCCTGCCGCCTGGACGCTTCCTGGGTTTTGCCTGCGCCTCCGGCTCTCGTGGCCGCCGTGCGCCGCCTCGGCCCAAGCCTTGCCGGAGACTGCCCCGTCGGTGGCTCGTGGAAGTCTAGGCCTCCTAGATGGGGTCGGAGGAGATGGCGTCGGAAGATCGCGCTGCATCGCCGAGGCATCAGCGAGGCATCGGCGATGCGGCGCGATGTGGGGCCCAATTTTCTCCACGCCAGCGTCGCCGATGCATCGGCGATGCATCGCCGATGTATCGGCGATGCGGCGAGATCCTCCGACCCCATCTACTCGGACCCTCTAGGAGGGCAGTGTGTGCACGTAGTCGTCGAGAAGAAAAGAGCCCCTTGTCCTAATAGCACAGTGAAGACGTGGCCTCACTTGGGTCACCGTCTCTGCAACTGGGATAAAATATTTGGGCGGTTTGGTTCGATACATCTGCAGTAGAGACCCTCTATCCCTAAGGCTTCTGGCCCTCCTAACGTAGGGCCCCTCCCAAAGGGTTGGGGGTCCTTTTATTGAATTGTTTCGCTCATTCCACTGGCCCATATTGCGTTTGGGAGCCTCTTTGGGGCTTCCAGCTCTTGGGGGCTTCTTGGGGCCTCCTGGGCGCCTCTTGGGGCCGAGGGCTTGAAATGTCCGTTCGGGTTCCCCGTCTGGCCCCCTCTTGGGGCCGTCCTGGGGATATCTTGGGCCGTCTTGGAGGCCTCTTGGGCCGTCTTGGGGCCCTCTTGGGCCCTCTTGGGGCTCTCTCGGAGGCCTTGGGGCGATACTTGGGGCCTCTTGGGACGTCTTTTAGCGTCGGGAAGCCGAACAGAGGAGAACGCCCAAATCCATCATTATCCCAGTGCGACCCTGCCTAGTAGTTGGAGCCTCTTGGAAAGCAACATTAGTAGGAGCGGTAAACGCCGTCGTCCTCCTTCTCCTCATCGTCGAAGTTGTAGCAGTAGCGGTAGTAATAATAGTAGTAGTAGTAGTAGTAGTAGTAGTAGTAGTAGTAGTAGTAGTAGTAGTAGTAGTAGTAGTAGTAGTAGTAGTAGTAGTAGTAGTAGTAGTAGTAGTAGTAGTAGTAGTAGTAGTAGTAGTAGTAGTAGTAGTAGTAGTAGTAGTAGTAGTAGTAGTAGTGGTAGTAGTAGTAGCGCCAGAACCGCCGACGCCACTCCGTAAGTGAAGCAGCAGCAGAAGCAGGCAGCAAGTCGCCGAGACAGCAGCAAAAGCAAGCAGGCACGGAGATGAGGGCGGGGCACTGGGGAGTTCTTTACATTTACATCTATAGCTACACCTACATCTACATCGACACCTACATCTACATCTAGACCTACATCTACATCTACATCTACACCTACAGCTACATCTGCATCTACAGCTGCATCTACATCTAGATTTACATCAACAGCGAGACTCACATCTACATCTACGTCTACACCTACATCTACACCTACATCTACATCTACATCTACATTTACACCTACATCCACATCTACACCAACACCTACATCTACATCTACATCTACACTTTCGCATTGGTTTTGCTTTTGCTTTGCATTGCCTTTGCTTTTTCTCTTGCCTTTGCTTTTGCCTTGACCTTTGCTTGTGCTTTTGCTTTTGCTGTTGCTTTTGCTTTGCTTTTGTTTTTGCTTTTGCTTGGTTTTGCTTTTGCTTTGCCTGCGCACAGACACACACACACACGCATGTTTTTGCATTCGCTCACCGTGTGTTGTGTATATATACACATATATTTGCATATGTAGAAAGACATTTCGGACATGCGATAATACGTCGGGTTTCATGTCTCCTGGCCGGTGCTATGTGCGAAACCTTCGTGAATCCTAAGGACTCAAGCTGCCCCACTAAGGGCTCAAGATGGCCCACAGACGGACAGCATGCATGGAACATACGTGCGCACACACATAGAAGTGCATATATACATATATAGCAGCAGCAATAGTGGATGCTGTGCTGCGCTATGCTATGCTATGCTCTGCTCTGCTATGCTATGCTATGCTATGCTGCGCAATGCTATGCTGGGCATAGGCTATGCTATGCTATGCTATGCTATGCTATGCTATGCTATGCTATGCTGCGCTATGCTATGCTGCGCTATGCTATGCTATGCTATGCTATGCTATGCTATACTATACTATGCTATGCTATGCTATGCTTTTGCTTTGCCTTCGCTTTTGCCTTCACTTTTGCCTTTGCTTTTGATTTTGCTTGGCACCCAGGGAGCGCAACAGGGGGAACCGCGCGTTTGCTTTTACCTTTGCTGTTGCTTTTGCTTGGCTCCCAGGGGACTGGGGGAACCGCCCGGGGCGGTTTGCACTGCCCAGCCCCTTTTAAGCCAAGCGAGTGAGAACCCTTCTAGGCAGAGCCTAGATCGGGAACAAAAACGAAGGGAAATCTATGGTTTTGGCCTCCTGGGGCCCCCTTCAGACGCTTCTTCGAGGCCTCTTTGGGCGTCTTGGGGGCGTCTGCGGCCGTCTGGAGGCTATCTTGGACGTCTTAGACCGATCGGTCGGCGACTCGGAGCCCTCTTGGACCGTCTTGGGGACTCTTGGGGCCCTCTAGGAGCGCTCTGGGGCGCCTGAAAGCCGCGCCCAGAAGGACAAAACATCTCTGAGTCGGACCGCCCTGGGTACTTTGCGTCCAGGGACCCCCAGGAGCCGCCCCGTGCGCGCGACTAAAGTATTGTTTACCAGAAGCCGGAGTAGCACGCCTCTGGCCCGTTGGGCCTGCGAATTGCTCATCGCGTAAGGCCTTTCCGCGGAGGGCCCTGGGTATACTGCAGGTTCGCGTCGCGTTGAACGATCTGACGTTTCGGAAGCGGCCGATCGTTCAAGCTTGAATGATCCCCGCGGTGTCAGGAGCCAACGCTGGGGTCGACACGACACGAGCCTACCGTACGCTTTGAGATGTTCGGCAAACTTCCGTCGGGTGATAGCGCGACGCATACTTTCAGTGCGCCTCAGCACCGAGCGGCGCTCCTCACCACCGCACCACTCTGGAAAAATCGCGGCTCACTTCTTTCATTCGAAGCGCTCGTGTGTACTTACAGGCCGTGGCAAAACATATGCAAGCGCAGCAAAGTATGATAGAACTGGGTACCGCGAGCCATTGTCAAACGATCTTTGCCGCATCCTGAGACCCTCCTGGCCGCTAGGTCAAGCCACCTTCCCTAGCCCTGCCAGTCCATCTTGGCGAAGTTTCGTTTAGACTTGCTGAGCGCTGTCGCGCGCAAGCAAGCTTTCGCCCGAGCGCAGCGCAGTATTCAGTCGAAGAGAGGAGAGGAGGGAAGGAAGGAGCGAGTGGGGCGTACCATGGGGGGGAGTGCACGGTCGGGGAGGGGCACGATAGGGGGAGATTGATTGGTTGGTTGCACCCTCGCGGATCGAGCGTGGGTCCGCGAGCACGGTCTCGCTACGCAGTATGATTGCCCGGCGGAAGGCGATACTGCGATGCCCAAGCTTGACCTTGGGGGTGGCAAAGAGGGGGGTGATGACTAGGGGGGGGTGGATATCATGGCGTGGGCCATGATATTTCCCCAGATTTCAGGGCGCCTCTTCTTGTTTCATGACGTTCCCGGCCCCCCCGCTGGGCCGCGCACATGCCGCCGGTCATGATTTGCACCCCCCCCTCTTGGACACCCCCCTCTTTGCCGCTCCCGATGACCCAGCCCAGGCAGTCTCTGGGCGACTGGAGAGGGGAAGAGGGGAAGCGCACGGGAGGGGAGGGTCGGGCGGGGCTAGGACGAGGAAAACTCCGTCCCAGAGCGTCCCCGAACGCTCTCGGAGCGTTCCGGAGCGCTCTGAGAAGGCCGCGGCGCCCGAGACATTCCTCAGAGCCGCCAGATCTCAGAGATTCTCGATTTGTCCCGACCCAGTTGTATCCTCGTCCTGGCTTCGTCTTAGAGGCACTCGAGAGGTGGAGATAAGGCGGGAGAGCGGGCGGGAAGGCAAGCGTTAGGTCGGGCATGTCCCCCTTGAGGCGGATTTTGAACGAAAAGTTATGAATTTTCAAGACGTGTCCAAAAATAATCCAAAACTGCTTTCAACAAATTGTCTTCCCGTATTATTTTTGGAGCATTTTTGAATCTATCTTCTGTAGAGGGACATGCCCGACTTGAGGCAAGCGGAGGGGGCGAAGCGGAGGCGAGGGCGCAGCAGCGGCCACGGCGAGAGGGCTGCCGCGCCGGCACTGCCAGCGGCACGCTCTGGCCCGCCGCCTCCTCTGCTCCGCCTCGCCATCCTCCTCCCGATGGGCCCCGGGCCCCCCAGGAAGATATAGTTTTTCATATGCAAGCACTCGCGGCCATGCTCGGCGAATACATCCTCTGGTGTGCTGTGGTCTGGCCACAGCGAAATCGACCTCTGGTGCTGCAGCCGATTCTCCTGTCGGGCTGTATGTCGGAGCTTGGACGGAACTGGTGCGCGCTCTCTCTCTCTCTCTCTTCCCCCCCCTCTCTCTCTCTCTCCCAGAGAGAGAGAGAGAGAGATCAGGATGCGAAAGAGCACACAGACACAAACAATCGTCGACTCCCCGGAAACTGAGGTGGAGGGGAAGACGAGCATTCAGGAAGTATGGGCAAATGTGGGAGTCCTGGGATCCGTGCTCATTTGTTGATCTGCCCCTTGGCCCCTTCCAGTGAGAGCGCACGAGCTCGGGCCAGGTCTGCTCCAGGCCCCGCCGCGGGCTGGGCAGCAGCGCGGGCCTGCCACGCAGAGCGGGGGGCGTCGCAGCGCGAACAGGGGTGGGGAGCTGTGCTCCCCCTGTCGCGGAGCTGGGTGGGCTGTGGGCCCTCCCTGTCTCCACTCTTCTCTTGAGGCTTGCTGTGCTTGCACGACTTGTCTCGTGGTGCGAAACCCGCAACACCTGCGGTACGTGTGGCCCCGACTGGAGAGCAGAGCGGGTCTGTGGTGAACAGGCCGCTCCCGAAAGGCTGTCCTGCGACGCAGCGCGGCAGAGGCAGTCCGCACGCGCGCTCGGGCAAGCCGGAAGACGGCATCGCAGACTGTCGGGCGGCAGGAGAGGGAAGAGGACGGAGAGGACGGTCATCGGGGCGGGAGGGAAGAGAGGGAAGAGGACGGAGAGGGAAGAGAGGGAGGGCGCTCGCGCGGCGGAAGCCGACGCGGAGCGGCCAGGGGCGGCCAGCCGGTGCAGCACACCCTGGCGGACACTCCAGAAACGGCAGGCGCCGACTGCAAGCGCGCCTCGGCACCTCGGCGAGCCAAGGCGCCGCTGTGAGGGGCATCTCCCGCAGCGGCCCAGCGCCGGGGCTGCGGAGAAGTGGCCAGCAGTTCTCGCAGCACACTCGGAGCAGGGAGAGGCTAGCACTGGCGTGCCAGCGGTGAGCATCGAGGCGCGCCTGGTGGCTTGCCTGGGGAGAGGCCCGCCCCAAGGTCAGCAGGCGATTGGAAGGTCTGATAGGGGGTCGTTTCGGGCGGTTTGTGCTCTTGGTCTGGTATCTGTCAAGACGGGGTCCTGACTGTTCTTGGGTGCTACGCAGGGTATGAACAAGGCTGGCAGCACACTGGCGTCGCGTCGTGATGCTGTTATTGAGGGCATTCCCGCAATCGGGGTCGGCAGATTGTATGGCAACCGTGAGGCGTTGCGCGGCACGACTCCGTTCGGTTGTTTGTAGCAGAGTCACTTGGATGGCTCCACCCAGGTGGGAGGTGCTGAGGCCGTGAGGCCCCGTTCCTTGGTGGGACGGGGTAGCGGCCTGATGGCAGAGTGCGCTGCGTTGCGGGCCTGGTGTTCGGCAGCACTGTCCAGCCCATCGGGTTGTGGCGGTGGCATTTGCCCGCCCTGGGATCCAGTACGCGACTCGTCGCCAAGCCCACGCGGGTCTTTTCTTAGGTTGTTAGCGCCTGGGGCGGGGTCTTGGTGGCCACCCGCTTCGGATTCATCAGCGCCTGGTGCCTTCTCGGCTGCGGGGTGGACGAGGGAGGGACGGTAGGGGCTGCGCCACGATCCGAGTGGTCGAGCCCCCATGTGACATGTAACCTGTGCGGTAGGCGGCCTGACGCCTGGGGGGGGTCTGGGTGCCCCCCCACCTCCAGAGGCGTCGCGTGCCGTCCTGTCGCGTTCCCGACGTCGTGGTGCACAACGTGCCATCCCGTCGCACTGCTTGACGTTCCGAACGGTCCCACGCTTACCGCCGTGATGCTCAGCGTGTTCACGCTCGCGTTGTCGTGCCGTCCCGTCGCACTGCTCAACGTCGTTGTGCGCGGTTCGCTGGTGCTGCACAGCGTCAAGGTGCTAGTCGGTCACGAGCTGTTCACGGACGTGGTGCTCATTGCTCTGTTCGCCTTGTTAATGGATGTGGGACTGCTGGTTGTGGGTCCCGTCGTGATGCGCCACGCCGTGTTGCTTGATCCCGTCGTTCTGCTCGGTGTTGGGGTGCTGATTCATGGAGTGCTGCTCAGAGACGTGCTCGTTGCATTGCTCGTCTGGCTCGAGTATGTTAGGCTGTTGGTGCTAAGTCCCGTTGTGCTGCTGGTAGGCGGCCCGGCGGGTGGGGCGGGTCCTGATGGCCACCCGCTTTCAGATGCATCATCGCTTTGTGCTTTCTCGCACGCGTGGAGGCAGGGGCTGAGTTACGTCCCGTGTGGTCGAACCCCCATCTAACCTGCGCGGTAGGCTGCCTGCCGCCTGGTGTTGGGTCCTGGTGGCCCCCACCTTCCATGGGCGTCCAGTGCAGCACTGCCGCATTTTCAGCGTCGTGGTGCACATCGTGCTGTCTCGTCGCAGTGCACGACGTCACGTCTTGTGGTGCGAAGCTTGGTGCGCGAGTGCGTCGCGGTGAACGCCGTAATGCTGCCCGTGCATCGTGGGAGGCCGCGTCGCCGCGCAAGGTAGAGAGCTAGGTAGAGGGAGAGAGGGGAAGATACAGAGGTAGAGGGAGAGGGGGATCGCAACAGCTCGGGTGGAGTGTCCGTCGGGGCGCCTGGGGTGCTTGCCCCCGCCGCGCCCACCTCATGTGGCGGGAGGTGCCGCTGGCGCGAGCAGGGGTGGGGAGACTACCTTCCACCTTGGCGCCGTCTTGTGGGGACCCCGATGGGGAAGCAGAGGCGGGAAACGGTGATAAAGGGCAGGGCTCGCCCCTTCTGCACGCTCGCGGGCAGAGGCGCCAGCTGCACACATGCTTCGGCATGCGTTGTGCAGCGCCCAGACAGTGGCGGCGCCACCGTGGGGCATCTCCCGCGGCTCATTATTCATATATATATATATATATTCCCGCGGCTCCTTATTCATACATATATATATATATTTCTCTGGCGAGGACTGAATTTGATCTTCATCTTTAGCTTCCTCGTTGGCTTGGTTTCCTTTCGGATTGGCCACAGTCATCGTTGGTCTTTGTAAGATTTTGGCATCTCCCGCGGCGGCCCAATCAGAGGGCAACGCAACAGGACTCAGGTGTTCGCAGAACCCGCCGAGGGGAGGAGGGATGAGGAGGGGCGCTAGCACTGGCGAGCCGCGCGATGGGCAGCAATGAAAGCTTGGACGTTGTCCTGGGGGGATGCCCCGAGGGAAGCGGCAGGTCGGAAGGCCTGCAGGAGGCCGTCCAAGGTGGCTTGTGTTCGGTGAAACCTGTCGAGCAGAGGAGCTAAGTGTTCCTGGCTGTGCTGGAGAGATCAGGCTACAGTAGGTGGTTGGCCCGCTGATGCAGTGCGTTGATTCTAGCGACGAGGACCGTTTCGCAGTCGCCCTTTGGCTGCCGATTGGCCGGTGAGAGGTGCTGCGTGGGGGATTGCCCACGGTCCGTTCGCTGGGTCCCCGTCGCACCGAGCCTTGTTCCGATGGCGGTCACTCGCCGTTCGCTGCTCCCCGTGGTCTCTTGGATTTTCTCGGCGTGCCGAACCCACCTCCAGAGATCCCCCAGCCTTCCTCCGAGCAAAGGGCGCCCGATCCGAGCACATCGAAAACGCGCGTTAACGTCTTGTCCTCCCAGCAGGAGGACCACAGAGTGAGGAGGGAGAGGGGGAGGAAGAGGAGGAGGAGGAGGAGGAGGAGGAGGAGGAGGAGGAGGGGGAGGATGACGAAAGGAGGAGGAGGCGGAGGAGGAGGAGGACATGGATGATGATGATGATGATGATGATGATGATGATGATGATGATGATGATGATGATGCTGATGATGATGATGATGATGATGATGATGATGATGATGATGATGATGATGATGATGATGATGATTAGGAGGAGGAGGAGGAGGAGGCTGTCGATGAAGATGATGATGATGCTGATGATGATGCTGATGATGAGGATTCTGATTATG